GAGGGCGTGAAAGGGCCACTTTATATCTTATGGGAAAGATAATATTCAAGAGTTTGAGAATAGAGGTCTCAGAAGTAATTAGTAAGAATAGCAAGTTTTATCTCATATTATTCTATATAATTTGAGTTTCTTTTATTAGCACAATGAATTCGCTGTCTTCATCTCAACTCTTCCCTCTACCCCATCCCCCAGAAATTTTTGCATAGGACTTAAGCCAGTGTTACAAGTGAATATCAAATAATAACTGTGCTTAAAAGGAGAAAAGCTGTGAATGGAATCTGTGTTTGACTGTCTAAAAAAAAAAAAAAAAAAAAAAAGTAAGATCCAGCAGTCACAATCATAGGTATTTATCCAAAAGATATGAAAATGATGTCTATACAAAAACGTGCATAAGAATGCTTATAGCAACTTTATTTGTAATTGCCAAAAATGGAAAGCAACCAAAATCATCCTCGATAGATGAATAGATAAATATGCTGTGGTATATCCATACAATATTATTCAGTGATAACAAATGTACTATCAAATGAGAAAAAGATATGGTGGAACCATAAGTGAATATCCTTCATGACAGTAGCCAGTCTGATAAGACTATATGTTATATTATTCCAATTATATGATCTTCTGGAAAAGACAAAACTGTAGAGACAATAAAAAGATCAGCGAGGTTACCAGGGGTGGTGGTGAGGGGATTTAATATATGGAGCATTGAGGAATTTTAGGGCAGTAAAGCTATTCTCTATGATACTACAGTGGACACATGACATTGTAGTATCATGAATAAAAGAATACTATAAACAGAGGGAACCCCTGGTGTAAACTATGTACTTTAATAATAACATAAGAGAAGATAAACCAAACTGCATATAAAATTTAGTATACAATAAATACAGTGTCCCCAAAGTATAGAATGAAAAAAATGGAGTCTTCAATGAGCATGGTTGAGATATGTGGATGGTCACATGAAAAAGATAAAATCAGATCCATTCCATTTGGGGGTGCAGTGGAGAAGAACTGTGTTCTTGGGATGTCAGATTGGA